AAGCTGATAAAGCCAGGAAGGACAGATAGCAATTCTGCAACTTGTCTTGACGTGTGTGAGTACCCTGCCAAAGTGTATTACAACATATTGAGTGGGTCTGTCGCTGGCTGCACCTGGGCTATATAGAATACTAAGAAGGACTCAGAAAACATATTTTTCTTCTTCTCAGTTGTTGGGGAAGAGCCGATACTGTTTTAACCTTACTCTGTCTTTCTGTTCCTAAGTTGAGCTGGATATATCTAGGTTGGCTACACTTCAGCTTCCACAGTAACAGATCTTTTTCTGGCAGCAGAAAAAGATGCAAATTATTTTCATGTGGCAGGTGTTTCAACCAAATACCCTGGGATCAAACTAACATTTATCAAGTACCTTGAATCACAGCATTATGTACTCAGTGGGCATTGCCCACGGGGAGGTAATGCATCAGCAGGCTGAGAAGCCTAGAACACAAAGGAAGAGAATAACAAATCACAAATCAACAAACTCAATTGTATTAAACGTGCTGCCCAGGGATGCTTTCCTCTGGCAAGAAAATATTCAGATGCAAACTTACTATTAGGAGTTTAAGAAATAAACCGACTGTAGGTAGATGATAGTTATTTGCTAACAAATGCAAGCAGCAAGGATCCTGAGCTCCGTTTCAACTACCTTCCAGTTGCATCCCAGGTCCCGGAAGCAATCGTTATTGTTGTTCAATTAAACTTGATTGGGTATGACAGAGCCTTACCAAATACCGGCCTCTGAAGGGGTTGTTCTTGCTAAGATTTGAATAACATGCTATTATGAATGATGGTGTTTTAAATTAGTAAGGATGCTGAAAGAAGTAAAAATAGACGAGCCATTGTGAGATTTCCCAGCAGCTGATGTTTGCTTCATTTGAAAAGACACATGAGTTTCAAGCAATCTTAAATGCAATGCCATATAAATTAGACGGGAAAGAGGTTTGCAATGTGTTTTGTTTAGTCAAAATTGGAAAACTTTGAGACTTTTTATAACTTCTGAGTTTCTGGGAAGGACAGTGAATTTAGATTCCCCGTAACTACATCCTTTAATGTGGCCTTCTGATTCCTTATCATTTTGAGCTGGGATGAAGCTCAATACAGTCAGTCAAAGACACAGTGACAAAAGGAGCTCCGTGTTATTTTTGCAACTCTCAGATTGGATAGCCAACCTGCTAATGAGGACTACTAGTTAACAACCTTAGTTACTGCAATAGCTAAAGGGTATACAGGTGCTGGGCAGGGAACCACTGCAAGGTACAGGTATCCTGGGGTGCCTCCAGATTGGTGGAAATTTAGCAGGTTCTGGACCCCAATACATATGGATCCTAATGTGACATCGGGAGTTGGTAAAGGGCATGGGGACTGAACTGAAAGCAACCTGTTTCTTTTGTGATAATTTCGTGTTTTGTCATGTATCCTGCCTGGAGGAAAAGAATTGTGTTGGGGTCTGTTTGCAGCAGCACTCAGATGGGGTAGGTGAGATAGATTTCAGACACAGGACACGAGAGATCTCATTTTCTCCATTTTGTTTCTTAGTTTTCTGTTGTTTTTAACCTTGACTAGTCTCCTTTTAGTCCTGAGGTTCAAGCGCTGGAACACTTCTCGTTCTGGAAGTCTAGAAGGCAATGCTGCTTTTACTTAACTTTGCACCTTAAAGCTCTGCGCAGTCAAAGAAAGTTAATAGTGAAAGAATTTGCCTCTGTTTTCTGGTTCTGCTATTCCGCACTTTTTTCCAGTAGGCCTTCCCAACCAGTTAGGTCCCATTGTTTCTATCAGTGGTGTCTTGTAACAAAGCCTATATTTAGATTGTCATGTTCTTTAATTGAGCATCATTCAACTCTTTAGTTTCATTTCTCAGCTCCTTTAATGCTGTCTTAATAGTAGTTTCCTCTGAAGACTTCTTTGCAGAGCTTCTGTTCAAATAAATTGGTGTTGAAATGATCATAACCTGGCTTCTCTATTTTTATTTAACGCACGGAATTATCTCAATTGGCATAAAGTTCAGGGAGTCACAAGGCCAAATGCACTTTCATAAATCTGAGATGACTTCACTGAAATCTTTGAATTTACAGTCTCTTAACAGAGAGCACAAGTTGACCCCAGAGCCCACAATATTAGCTCTAATGGGAAATTAGAATTTTCTGGTGCACTGACTTCAGTGACACATGGGTAGGATTATCTGAGGATGGAAAGCAAATGTTTGCTGTACCATAGCATGCCCATCTCCTTTGTATACACGCCTGCTCTGTTTGAATGGTGAATTACAGTGACTGAGACTCAGGGTGATCCTGTTAATAACCAGGGGTTAAACTCCAAAGAGTGCTTCTGCTGAGAGGATTTTTCCTTCCTGTTTCAAGTGGAGTTGCGGGCCAGGGTTTGGGTTCATTGTGTTCTTGGTTCTTTCAGTACTAACCTTCCTAAGGGCTTGTCTGTGGCTGCAGCACTGTCCAGTCGCTTGTCACCATCACAGCTACTTCCCACAGCCTTACCCCAGCGATTACTTAGGCAGGAGCAGTAAACAACAGCAAGACCCGGAGCATTTCGTGTAGGATGTACAGGGAGTGAATTCCTTTAACTTTAAAGATAGTCTGCTGGATGCCAGCACTCATCTTCTGCTCAGGTTTTCCTTTCATTAGGCTTTTGCTTTCAGCTTACAATGTTATTAACAACACGAACAACTGTTCCGTGTGTGCCTTGGTCATGGAGGATTCCGGGTAAAGCTGATTTCTTTTTGCTTCTTAACTTTTTCACAAATGGAATTCAGTGCCCTATCTCTTATTTCTTTACACTATCAGTCACATCTTTTTTTTTTGCCTTGTTTCAAGACAGCATTTATTTGGAGTCTATCAATGACAGACAAGGACCTGACCAAAACTACATCTTCTTATCTTGGCGCTGAGTGTTGCTGATTAACGTGGGAGGGGTAACAGGGAATGCAGTAGAAGGGCTGCTCATTTAGTGAGGTCTGTATACACAACGTGTTATAAAGTGCCCCCCAAACATGCTATCCTTCCATGTCCTGTTGTCCTCTGTTTAAATCAGCAGGACAGGCTTCATTTCTATATGCAGCTAGTCTGCAAATGCAATGTCGTGCATCAGAGGGTTTGGGTAAGCCAGGAATACCCTGAGCAGACCTGTCAAAGCTGGCTGGAACATAGGATGTGTTCCCACCTGGCAGATACCAGTAAAGTATCCGAACAACTACAAACCATTGCAGGGCCTGTGTGGGAAGCACAGTGTGGCAGGCTAAAGCCAGGCTTTGTTTTCCTCCATGTCCTGAACGGAATTTGACCACAGTAAAATGATGTACACTTGGCTGCTACAAAGCAATCTCGTGCATGCTTTAACTGGCATGGTATATAATGCATCCTGCGTTATATAACCATCAATCCAGCTCCCATAGCAACAGCATCCATGTCACCAGTTCTGCCAGCGATAACCATGTTGTAGTAATCTGCAAATATTTAAATTGTACATGATTGGCTTGTCAGTTTTGTCACATGTGTTTATATGCAAACAGATCTTATGACTAGCGCTTCCAAAACTCCCTAGGAATGTGTAAGCCCCGAACGCTTAACAGGTTTTGTTGGTTGGGTCTGACCTGAATGTTAATCACGGTTTTCCTTAGATGAGCATTAAATCTCTTATGCTTCTGGAGACGAACATCAAAATTCAAATATTTAATTTGCTCGTTGACATTTATTAAAATAGCTTCATGCTTGAATATGAAGTTAAGGCAATGGCAGCTAATTTTGTTAGTCTAGATGACGTTGGAAGTAAATTTAAATCTGATTGAGAACCATTTAATACTGAGAAAAGAAGGGAATAAAAGGTCAATGGTATAAGATGATGATATCGTCAAACACGGCACAGTTTAAGGTTGGGCTTTAGAAGTAACTGAATGAAGCCTCAAAAACAGTTGCAACAAGGACATGTCCAAAGATTGGGAGAGAGGTCTTTTAATGTTTACCAAAATAGGTTTTAGTGTCACAACAAGGTGGAGACCTCCTCTTGCCTAGAGATGAAGTCAGAGATGCTCAAAGTTTCTCAGGACTTAAGTTTTACTTTTCAGCCTGACAGTTCTTGGGCTGGGATGTTGACTTGGGATTCAGCAGAGGTGTATGTGTTCTGTGAGCCTTGCATTTCCATCCGAGGGGAAAGTTGCTCATTCAAAGGCAGACATTTAAATGTTTGTGTGTGTGCATGCACTTTCATGCATACATACTGTAGGAAGGCTTTGTTTTGAATGATATTAAGTACGTGAGACACTTTAATTTCCAGATAATGAGGAAGGCATTTACAAGTATATATGTGAAAGAAAGTCTGTATTTTTCAGATAAGTTTCAAAAATAATGAGAAGGGTGGACAAGAATACTTGTCATCCTCTTTATTCACCTGCTCAAGTAACTGGCTTGTCTCCTATCAATAAATGTTTTCTTGGATATAATTCCAGTTTTACACCATTTGCTTATATGATTGCTTCTGCTGTTGGCCTGGAACATGGTGAACTGTAAATTGATTGTTAAATTCCTTTCCATTGTGAGACCACGATGCTGTCACTGAGAGAGAAATGTCTGTAATCCCCTGGGGTAGGGATCAGCTAGGGGTGTGTAAGTACAGAGGATTATATATTTTTTTCTTTTTAAGAAAAGCTTTTGTATATTTACCGATCAGTAGATTGGTACATATTTATCCAGTAAATCATGGGGCTAGTCCGTTCTGCAAACACGGCGAGCTTTGGTTTGAGTTTTTCTGTTTTGGTTCTGTTTCATTGTATTTCTCTGGAAATACTTCTTTTGGACCCTTCTGGGGAGGGGGTTACCATGTTTCCTTAATTTTGACTGTCTTTGCTGAACTAGCAATGACCTGCTGAAGAAGTTAGGGTTAGGTGAAACTTCCCAGTTTCAAAATGCAGCTGTCTGTCACTGGTGCACAGGGATCCAGTGCCTAATGCCAGTTTGAGCAAATTTTTATTTATTTTTATTTTTTTTTACCTAGAGAATACTGTTGTGGATTTTCAGTGGAGTGTCCTGGAGAAAAGGATGAAAATTCTTATGATTTCTCAGACTGGGAGTCGGTTTGAATTAACCCTATCTGGGAAGACTGCAACTGGGATTTTGCACTGGAAATCTCTTTGTGGATGCTGTATTTCAGGAATACACGGGAGGTAGCATCTGGTCATGTTGAAGAATGCAAATGAGGACATCTCCACTGATGAATGGCTTGTCAAATGTGTACCCTAGAAAACAGAAAAAAGTGACCACCTTATTTTGGAAGCAACAAAAAATTCAGGGGACAGTCCCAGAGTGTTATATGAATGAGATCTGTTGCTTGCTGCTTGGCAGACATTGCTTTTCTCTGAGGACTTAGAATTCTGTGTACAAGTTTGGGCTCAGAAAGAAATTCTGTTGATAACATTGGTTTGATAAAGTTGCCTTGAAGCTTTTTAAGCAACTTCATAGATCAATATGACTTCTCAGAGTCATCTTGTTCATCTACTTGTTTGCAATTGTATGGCGAAGTACAGGGATGCTTTACTTTCTATCACTTGGTCTTGCTTGAGTTGAAGGAACACAGAACAACTTTTTACAGCATCTCAGTTTTCATTTTTTTAAATTAACATTGAGAGGAAATGATGGAGAATTCATGGCCTCAGTCATTCAAGCAGAGACATTTGGACCAACACCCAGTCGCTCTCCAAGCACAGTTTCCCACTGCTCTAGCAATCGGCTTATCTAAGAAGTGATGCTCACTGCTAATTTACTGACTACCTTTGGCAGCAGATGAGCAACTTCCCATACGCTATTTGAGGAACATGCCTTCCTGCAATCTGGAAAGACCATATGTAGGAGAAAGCTGAGTTTCTGTACTCTTGTAGTCTTTGAACTGAGTCCAAGCAGTGCCAATCTTCCCAAGACTTTTTGTGCTGAGAAGACTTCCCTTCACAGCCATTAGAAGACAACTGAAAGTAAACTGCTTGGTCACAGCAACGCACTCTCTGAGACGAGATCTAGAGCTGCTTAGGAGAATCGAATCGCTGCCAAAGCCTCGCAGCATTTGTTTTTTTTTAAAACAAATTTTCCAACAATTTGACGTTTCCATTTCCAGACCTATTTCCTAGCAGACTGGATTAACCCTGCAGGCACAGTAGCTCTGTGGAAGCCAGTCACAGGAGCTTCGCAAGTATTTTGGTTCCTGAGGTCAGGCAGAACCTAGGGAGTGTGGTCCTGGGGTTTGCTAGAGCTCCCTTGAGCCTGATGAGTAATTAATTTTCTTGGATTTTTGGTTCTGGCAGTGTGGGGATTTGAGATCTATTGGCCCCATGCTGAAGCAGGCAAAGTCATCCCAGAAATCTGGATTCCCAGTCTTCCCATATTCTGTGCAGGATGGCGAAGTGTGCGTGCAAATGTATGAACTGGGGCTTTTCTTTACATGGATGATGTCAAAGTTTGCAACTGGAAGAAACTACATATTGAAAAAAAAAATTTGCTTGTGAAATCATGTTGTTTATAGCTCTATTCAGGGTATCAGAAAATGAAGCCTTTCTGGTTTCAGGATGGATGGAAAACAGGTACTTGCAAACCTGTCTGCACCCTCCTAACAGCACCATCATACTCTGACCATTCAGACAGAAGCTCCATGTGAATACTCTTCTCTATTTTGCTCCCTCTCTTAGCTCATCTTTAAGGCTTTGGATTCAGAGATAGAACGTAGACCTAAAAAAAATAGGCTAAGTTTTGAGAGAGCTCTAAAATGAACTTTTTTTTCCTTTTTTTTTTTTCTTTTTTCCTTTGTTTTTTCTTTTTTCCTTTGTTTTTTTTTTTCTTTTTTCTTGAGTGTGCTGAAGATTATGATCTTTCTAGCTAACTTCAGCAGGGAGTTTCGTAGATATTAGCCTATTGCTAATTAAACCCATATTTACCACAAGCCTCTGTCTAACAACAGCCAGATCACCAAGAATTAGCGCCAGCTTCTTCAGGTAACATCCCTGCTGTGATCATGCAGGGCAATGTGGTCCTTCCAAGGGAACAGCAATGCCTGGAAGACTCATCCTACCCTGTTCTCAAATATGAAGACCAAAAAATAAAACTAAGAAATGCACTTAGTTCTTCCTAAATCGGTCACCCTGACTTGTGCCAGGGGGTGTTTGCTGTAGGAAGGTGTTGGCTCCAGCAGCTGTGAAGAAAGCAGCATTGCACAAGCCATTGTTTTTAAGTTAATCTCAGGTAAGAAGTGGGCAGATATTCTTGCCCAGCCTCTGCTGGAGGGTGGGTGCAATATCCTGGTCCTCTGTCGGTGGGAGAAGGGCCCATCAATAAAGAGGCCAGAGAGCAGCTTCCAGTAATTTTGAGATCAGGCATGTGTAAAAGGAGAGATAAATGTGAGAGCTGGTGATACACAGTGAAAGCAAGCCTTTTAAAGTTATTTCTGGCTCTTCCTTTCACCCTGCTTCCTTGTAATTTCTCCAGCCATGTCCAGGCTTAGATTTATCCAATCTCTCTTCTACATCCAAATACTTGCATTTCCCAAGGACTGGCACAGCTACGAGCTGATGCTGTTTGTATTTGATATAATAGAGATATAGAGCTGAAAGACCTGACATTTCTGCCAGCTGGGTCTAAGCCTTCTCACTATCTATCTTTGCAGCTGCGTGTAGATGCCAGACTGGATAGGGAAGGAGATTTGCTCATTTTTATGGTGCATTGTTGTGTGTTTATCAGCTGTAGCAAGAAAGAAGGAAAATTAACTAGAACTGGGTGCTTTCATTAACTCCAGGCAAATCTTGGCATCATGTTGGTGGTGGCTTGTTTGTTTGTTTGTTTTTTTGTCCCCCCACCCCATTGTTAATTAAACCCTCGTGACTGTGTCCTTTGCCTTTGGGAAAACTTTGGAGACGTAGATCTAAATACGAGAGCTAAACCCTTCTTAAAAACTAAGTGAGAATCACAGGGCCATGGCTGGAGTGTTGTGTATTTTGGAAAAGAGTTCTTAGCAGTTGAGTTGCTGCCTTCTACGAAATCCTTCTGGATTTGTCTGCACTGGCAGGCAGTCGGAAGCCCCCAGGAGTCTCTCCCTAGCTGTCTGCTCTTACCATCCATTGTACTGCACATGGGTACCTGCAGTTGCCCTAGCAAGTCCCATTTGGAACATCTTCCTTGCCACCAAGATGCCCAAATGGGATCTGTTGCCTGCTACCTTGAGTGGGTTGTCCTAGCTGACTTAACCAGCACTGCAGATACTTCCCTAGCTAGAAAAAGACCTTCCATCTGAGGAGTAGAAGCTGATGTGCACTCTTCATTTTCATTCTTACAATAGCTACGCTCTGCCAATTATGCTATAAATAAACTGGTGTGTAGGAAGGTAATACATACAGCGTGTTCCTGGCTGTTCTCTCTGTAGCAGGAACTCTGTAGGTTCAGTGTCAGAACATTTTAGGGATTAAGGATTGTTTCACAAGCTGGTCAAGGAAAATAATTGACATATCTGCATGCCTGCAGCCCTCTCGGTGTACAGCAGGAGAGTAGATTTCACAGCTTTAAAGCCACATGCTGTGTTTTGGAAACTCATCCCTGTCTCTTAAATCCCTGCAAATAGGCACAAGCGAGGACCTGACAGATTGCTTTACCTGGAGCCAGCTGTCATATATCGGCATGTCAGAGTAGGCTCTATTCAGCTTCCTTAAGCATTTGCTTTCATCCTGAAACAAAAAAAAATCAAACCAAACCAAAGTTTGCACTGCAGATGGCCTCCATTCAGCTCTCAGGACATGCAGATAAATGGTGGAAGGGATGCATGGAAACCCAGAAGTGGGTCAGGTACTTTTAGAAAATCCTGCTATATTCTCAGTTTTGTTTCCATGCTAGCCCAAAGCGCGTTTTAAACACTACCTGAACTTAGAAAGCCATTTTTAAAGGCCTTCTTAAGTCAAATAGGAGCCTTCAGTAGAAGTTAAACTCCTAAGCATCTTTCGGAAATGGAGCTTAAGCAGCTAGGTGCTTTGGAAATTTCTACCTTGTGAGCCGTATTACTGACGGCTATTTTGAGTTGCCAGGCAACAAAGCAGCGGTTCCTTCTTGATGGCTTAGACCTGCTAGGAACTTGAACAGAGCAATCCACTTCCCTGAGCTGGTGGCAGTGCATGGGGACCCCTTTCAGCTTAGGGAAGGTGACATTGGAAGTGAGAGAGGGAATAGAGGGCTGCTTGGTGGGGAGGGAGGAATTGGACTTTCTTTCAAAAGATACTTTAGGAACTGGTGTGGTTAGTGAGAGTAACCTCAATGCAGAACATCCAGTCCCTCATGTCAACATGAGATCCCTTTGGAGGCTCCTCTGGGGTCCTTTTGTTCTTTCCTAACTATTCAGAGCTGTTGTCAAAGTTCAGGCCCTGCTCACCTGCTTCTGCACCCCTGACAGAAGCTTTTCTCTATCACTTTTTCCTACTTAATCATTCCCTGTCTTATTTGTGTAACGCATGTAGGTAATGCACCTACCTTTCTTTTGTTTTTTAATGTCTTATTTTTCATGCCTCCTGATCCCCTCACCATTTTTTTCACCCAACCCCAGATACAATTGCAGAGAGGATCCTGTAATCAGTAAACCCTTGCCTGACTGACTTTGCTCGGATGCTTTCCCCTCTTTCACAGGAGAGAACTGCCAGTTATCATGTGCTAAATGCATACACTTTTATTTTTCCTATTGCTCACTCAAATATAATTTGATGTTTTGGAGAAGCAGGTGTCTTTTTACTTCATTATTATTTTTTTTTTATATTCCACATTAAGAACAAATAGAAGGTTTCATGTCATTAACAGCAATGAAAAGGCATGATTTGAGAAATTAAAATGCCAGTACAAGTGAGTGTGTATATGTATGCATATGTGTGCCTGTTTGTAGATGATGAAAGGATGATAGGGTGATTTGGAGGAGGAGGAGATGGTTGTCAGTGGGCTCTCAGGTAACTGGTGGTTATTTCTTTAGTCCTCATTTTTTTTAGCCCTGTTTTCCAAGAGGAGTGACTGAGGTAATTAAATTGTTAGGCAGCTCCTTCAGTACTTATAAAAATCTCTTGGCCCAGTTGGAAAGAGGACTGTCTAAGGTAATTGTGTTGCAGTGGATGGAAGAGGTGAGCTTTGCAGATTAGTGCCCCTGCTGAGAGCAGGACCCAAAACTTGGCTCTTAGGAATTGTTGGGCAGCAGCTAGCTTGACTGCTGGCCTGCCCAGAGCAGCTGGTGTAATCTGCATGATGTTTGCTCTAGGTTAGTCACAGCATACAGTAGCTCCTTCCATGAAGAGTAGTCCAAGAGAAAAGGGGAAAAATGCAGGAATTGTATGGGGAAAAGTGCAGGAGTTGCTATTATGGGACACGCAGCCTACAGGTGCACAATACCACCTTCACTGGTTTCAGAGCTTCAACAAACTGCAAGTTAGTCCAATAGTTAGTAAATAACACTGCCGGAAGGTAGCAATGGGACTCACCTGCAGGAACGTTGCAGCCTTGTGGTTTTAAACTTTCTAACCTATTAAAAATGTGGATTAAAGTATAAAGTGTACTGTGCACTAAAAACAGCTGTAGAATCCAGCCTTTTACTTCTTCACCATGACTTCTTGGATATCTCAGAATAAAGCTGGAAGTATTTAACACGGAGGTAGAAGGTGGCAGCTTTTAGGTGAGAGATGCAGATTCTGAAATGGAAAAGCAAAGCAACGCTTGGTGACATTGGTAGGTGGAGTTGTAATACAAGGTGATTTAGCGCATTGCTGGTCACTAGAAAAAATCATCCTGTAGGAGGTTCTCTTGCCCTGAACTATGGAGTTCATCACTCCCGTTATTTTAAGGATTTAATAAGGTGCTATAAAGATGCACCAGTTTCTTTCCATTGGCATAGCAGCAAGTCTGACCTCCACTTCTGAGAAATTTACACTTCTGTTGGAGAGACCTTGCACTGGGCAGAAGTTAAGCTTTGTGAATGTGGGATTTAGGCAGTGTAACCCACCTGGAAGCCCTTTGGGGGGGGTAGGATGTCTTACTGAGGATGCTTCATTCATGCTTGTGGGTACTGTGTGTTTTGTTTAGCTGTAACTGCAGAATCTTTCTACAAAATGTTTGGCTCTTTATTCAAGTGTGGCTTGGGATAGTGCCATATTCTATATAGCTTAGCTTGCTATTTCTCTCTATTCAGTAGAGCATTAAGCTGTTTTAGATTCCTGGATATGGTTTTTCACTACTGTTAAAAGCAAGTAGTGCCACTGCCTTGAAACCTTACTGCTTATATTTTATGAAGTACTATGTCTATTCCTAGAAGCATTAATAATGTATGTACTCTGCAATTTCAATACTCAAACACTGAAGGCACCTGGTACGTGAGAACCTATTTAAGTTGATAAGGCAAAGCTAGATGAATAGGATTATCTGTTTCCTAAGCGTACTGAATACAATGGCATGTACATCTTATGCATTCAATGCTCTTTATGGAAATGTCTGGGAGCATGTTTTAGTCCTTGCTTGGAAATAGTGGAATTGGCATTAAAAAGCACAGAGTTATTAAATTAAGAAGGGTATTAATGGTAAGCTAATTGTCCTTGTTGGGTATCTATGTTGGCAACACCTTTTTGTCAGAGCTGAGCACAGGGCATGGAAAATGTCATAGAAAGATTGCAAAAGATAGAATAAGGACATTCCCAATTTTGTTGTTGTTGTTGTTGTTTTTTGTTGTTTTTCTTATTTATTTTTTTTCAGGAGAACCAGAATCCAGTTCCTTTCTTAAGTTTCGGAATTTCTGTCAAATCTTATAGTGGACAGTAGGGCTGCAGAGAGCTTCAGCCCAAAGCACAGCAATTCTTATACACCCTGCTTGACTTAGAGAAGTGTGCTAACGAATCATCAGCAAAACTTCCTTCTGCCCAAAGCCATTCGTGAGAGCCATCACAGTCTCATCCTCATCTGCTTGTGCTGATCCACAGCAGAAGACTGCTGGCAGGATCAGAGCTCAGGAAATAGTGCTGCGGGGTCTGAGTTTAACACTTATATTGCTCCAGGCTTCCTTCTGTTTATGAATATCAGCTTTCTGAATTCTCCAGTATGAGGTCAGCATGCTACAGATCTGTAATATTTGTTTTGGAGAGTTTCTCCACAACGTTTGCAGTCGATCTGGAAAGGTGCCTTGCTGGGGAAGACATGGGAGTGGCAACGTACAGGGAACTGAATGGAAGCTGGGGCAGCTGATGTGTAAGAGCATTCCCCAACTCTTTATATTGCGTGGCATGGGAGAACAATCCCAGCTAACTTTTCTCTGGAAAAAAAAAATAAAATTAAAAAAAAAAAATCATACCAGCTTGGAATAATCCTATTAGCTTTAGTGGGCTTGCTCTCACACTCAAAGCTGGAAGGCACTTTGCTGAATGAAGACCCTTGTAATGAACATGGCAGGAGGAAAATGCAGCTTTTGTTTCCTTTTATTCCTTAGAAACTCACTGACCCTGAAGAAAAAACTTCAATAAGGCAACATTTCCAGGAACATTAACAGGAATTTTGATTAATAAACATGCCCATCACATGGGGCCATTGCTTAGGAAAAGTGGGTGGTAGCAGAGTTCCTTTAAAAGACAATTTTAAGTAATCCAGTCCAAATTAAAATGCTATTGCTACTTGCAGTTGTTACACAAGAAAGAATGGTGAAGCAACAACATGCACAGTGTCTGGATTCCTACTGATGTCAATAGGAAAACCTCACAGTCGTCTGGTCTTGCTCTCTTTTCTATACCCAACAAAGGCAGCGTGTGATGTCCTGAGTGTTGCTCTTTGGGAAGCGCAATGTATACAGGCTTTTTTAAGTCAGTACCTGTCTTTTCTGTCAAAGCACAGCGGGGCAGATGCTCTTTGGTTTGTGCAGAACAAAGGTTTAGCTCCTTAAGCTCTTACCTTTCTCGTACTTGTGTGCGCTGCTCTGGCCAATGTCACCAAACCCGAGTCACAGCCATGTAATCCGCCTCAGGTCTTTTAGGTTTAACTGTAATTGTTACAGCCAGGTTGTTAGGGAAGGGAAAGGCGACAAGGGATAAAGGAGACACTCAGAATTTAAGGAGGGTTATGGGGAAGGCTGAGGAATGAAGTAACAAACACATCCTGCCCCTGCTGTCCGCCCCTCATTATAAAAGGCAACACCAGCTCCCACAGTCCGAAAATGAGCGAGCTGCCTGCTTTCCCGAGGGCAGCTGGTGCCTTCAGGAGCTCAGATAAGCTG